AAGAAAAGATCTTTAAAGTAGTTTATAATGTTTTTCAGCTATCTGCTTTGGGTGCCTAATAATAAGGCGGCAATTAATGTCCTACCAGCCCCTCCAGAAGCTGGAAATCATGAAGGTCCCATGAGCCCTCTTCTTTCCAACCTTGATGATCAAATAATTCAGCAGAGAAAAACAAGCTATGCAAGGCAGTTCCGTTTATCAATATTTTTGGATATTATTTTTATTCCATTTGCTAGTGCTTTCCCATATTATTGCCACTCTCATAAATCCTGTGGCCAACATTACACCTTTCCCTCTCTCTTAGAAGAACACAGTTTCATTTTCAACTATTGTGGGGGTGGATTCAAAGATGAACAGTACTATTATTATTATTTTTCTCTGGGTGGGTCAGTTTTGACTGAACTGATAGATATAGAGAAAGGATTGGGGACCCTTACGTATAATTAATCTATATTATTGGTTGTGATAGCTTACTCTTTCACTAATTAAGATAAGGCCCATATTGTTTGGCCTAGCTTGGTGTTTGTATGCTGGTGTTATCATCTTATTCCTCCAACTAAGATTGCACTTTTGCCAATCCCTCTCCCTTTCTTCTCCCTATAAAAAAGAAAAAGGAACTTCCCTTCGCCCTCTTGTAAATCTCAGCTGCTGCTGAAGTTGCTGGCACTGTGGACTAGAGGTGGTAGCTTGTTTTCTCTCATCTTACCCATCACTTATGTTCTTCTTCCTTCTTGTTTCTCTTGTGCCGTTGGTAACTTTGTCCCACTTCTCTATCAACTGTCATTTCTGTACTGAAAAGGGAAAAGGAAAGAGAAACCCCACTCCCACTATGTTTCTTGCAGTTTTTTATTTCATGAGTGCTGTTTAAGGTTCGTCTTTTTAACATCTAGTTTTTTGCGTTGTATATTATATAGCAATGTCTTCTTACTCCATCCCACCAATTCCTATTAATCAAGAACTTCAGCTACCGTCCATTTGTTAGATGCTGAAATGGTTAGCCAATAGCAGCGCCCTCTATTCACCACCAATACTTTCTTTTGTTTTTTTGGTTCTTGAATCTTTGTTTTTTTTCTCTTCTCCATGAAAGAAGCAGAAATGACTGTACCCCACTTTTTCATGTGTCCAATTAGTCTAGACTTGATCAAAGATCCAGTGACGCTATGTACCGGCCAAACTTATGACAGATCAAGCATAGAAAAATGGCTTGCTGCTGGTAATCTTACTTGCCCTGTCACAATGCAGAAGCTTCAGGATTCATCCATGGTTCCTAATAACACTCTTCGTCATTTGATTGATCAGTGGCTGCAAATAGGCCCTCAGTTTGATCCTGTTTATTTGTCAACAATTGATTCCCTAGCTTCATTGAAGAAAATTCTTGAATCAGGTGAAGCTTCCTTGGAGTACAAGTGTCAAACACTTCAAAACATCCAAGCTCTAACTGAAGAATCACAATCTGGAAATTCTTTTTTGTTCCAGTTAGGCTTCTTTCCTTTATTGTTGGAACTGCTTTTTGGAAAAGTGGAATCCAGACTGTCTGAAGGAAGTGCTAAGTTTGCAGAACAAGCACTTTCTTGTGTCCTAAGATTGCTGTCTCTTGACGAATATGAGTGTTTAAATATGTTAAAAGAAGAGTCTAAATTGGAATCCTTTCAGTTTTTGTTTGATCAAGGTACTAGCAAGATCAAGAGGAGTTTGTGCCAAATAATAGAAGCAATATCATCATCTTTGGAGACAAGAGAACTCTGTGCTAAGCTTGGCAATAACAGAAAACTCTTGAAAGGGCTGATTCTTCTTGTTCACCAAACATATGGAGCATCCGAGGCTGGAATCAAAGCTATATCGGCACTATGCTGCTTGGAATCAAATAGAGAGAATATGGTTCAAGAAGGTGGGATAAATGGACTCTTGACCTATATATATGAAGCTCAAAGACATGAAAGAAATTTGGCACCTAAAGCAATGGCAACAATTGAGCTGCTTCTAGGACTAGAGAGTGCAAAAGAGGCTTTGATCAATGACCCTAATGGTATTAAAGCTCTCATAAAGATGGTTTTTAGGGTTTCTGATCACCAAGGAAGCGAAAGCGCTATTCGATCATTAATGATTATATGCACAGATTCTTTACAGGCACGAGAAGAAGCAATTGGTGCTGGAGTTTTAACTCAATTGCTTCTGCTGTTGCAGAGCCAGTGTAGTGGAAGGACTAAAACAAAAGCAAGAATGCTACTCAAGCTGCTTGGGTCCAAGTGGGATGAAGAACCAAAACATTTGTAAACTACAAAAAAGTATGGGATGTTTTTATGCCTATGCGGGTTCTTGTTGGTGTATTGGCTTCCCTGTGACATAGTATCTTTGTAAAGATTACTGAAGTGTCCATGTTTGTATCTTATCTGTCATTAAACATTCGTTAATTACTGAATAAACCCCCACCAAGCTGAGTGGATTTATGTTATGCCTAAACCAAATTTGATTAGATGGATCGTTGTCCTGTGCCAAATCCCAAACCCTTCTTCACCTGGTAATTTCTGTCCATTTTATGTTGTGTTGTTGAGCTACCATTCTCTGAAGCATCAATTCAGAAAATGAAAATTGCTCCCCATTAAAGCAATGTCCAAGCAGTGAAATTACAGCCCAACTGTCAAATGATAGAGTTCATGCGCGTGATCCACATGGTTCATCCAAAAAAAAACAAAGCAGCATTGATTCCCAGTGGTTCAAATTGCCAGAGAGAAAGCTGGCGTTGTCCCAAATATACCATTATGACAACGGACAGCATCCTTTTATCATTAATGTTGAAATTTGGAAACTGAAGTTGATGGGACTGGAAGTTTCTGTCTGTGGATATTCCTTTCATTTTATTTGATATTTTTGTGTGGTGGGATAGGATGATTTGCAATTTGCATAGCTTAGGTTGCAATAGGTCGCCGAAAGTTGTTGAATTGTCTGCATATTGTTTCATATAATACTGCTCCGTTGGGATCACATTTCTGGCCCCTATATCAAAACTTTTCCCCTTTTTTTTCCTAGCTCATTTCAAGGTTCATTAGGCCTTAAACTACACAACAGGACTAGCTTTCTCCTCTTTACAATCCTGGGCATTCCAGAGGTAAATGGAACCGAAATATAAAGGGTAAACAGCCAGCAGCTTTACTGGCTAAACCAAGATGTAGCCTTCCCTTTCTTATTCAACTACGGCATGTTTCAAAATTTAGTAAGAGTCCATCAGATGATTCACATATTACTAACATGTTGGGGGAAATTGACCAATGTTTGTAATCACCAATTCATATATTACCAAAAAAAACATCAATCGAAGTTGGCCGCATGCTGTACCCTGCGGTTGAATGCAAAGTCAATGAATAACTTTCCTTCGTCTAATCACTGCTATAGTGGTCTCACAGACACATGGACTGCACCAACATCTAGCTCGGATCACTACAGTCACGCCTAGCGTTGGCCTTACTCCTATGGCATGCGAAATGAACTGAAAAAGTAATCTTCTTGCCTTTTCTAGAGGACTGACCCACCATAGAAAGAACATTTAATTTACCCTCATGATGGTTAAAGCTGTAAGCAAACACTTTTAATGAGCGTTGAAAATGTTCAAAAAGAAATATACCATTCGGTCTAAATTTTCGGCGAGGAAGTAAGCATGCAAGAGATGGAGCACTTTTTTTACCAAGATTCTACAAGATGAATAGAAAGGGATATTGCACAGGCCTGCACACTATACCTATAGCTATGCTACAATGCCAGACAACCATCCAAAATTTTGGCTGAACGTCAAAAAGTTGGTGCCGTTCATGAAGTCAACCACAGCAGCATCACGTATATTCAAGCAAACGGCAAGTTCCAACTAGAACTAAATACTAATCAAGTAATGGCAGAAACCATATAAGGGTTTCCTCCAAGGTTTGTTATAACGTGTGGAGGGAATTTTTTTTTTTTCTTCCTTAGTTCAATGGCAGCGGGCAAGACAAGAACATGAAAGGTCTCATTTTCTGATAACCATGTGCTTAAGGAGTGCCATTAATGACTACGTTTACTAAGTAAAGCAGCATCTATAAAAGTTCTTCAAAATTTAAGTTCAATGGCAGCAGGTTGGTTTAAGTATGCATCAAAGAAAATTCCTGGAACGTGTGAGTTTGGTAAACAATTTCGTGTGGCAATTAAATTAAAGAGACAAAAGCAAGAAAGACCTCACATTCTGTATAAGCACAGTTGAATATTGTCCTTGAGTCTGTTTTCTATACCTCAGGAGTAGGCTATAGCACATGGAATTCTTCATGAAGCTATCCAAATCAAGAACTCATAGTCATACTACATGTTTTGGAATTGCCACCATTGGACGCAACCAAAACTCTCCTCCCTTTGGTTAATCTGCGTTGTTCAATGTCTGAGTTGCATAACACAGCTTTTTCACAAAAACTTGGTCTTCGGTGAACATGGCCCCCAACATAGGTTGCTTAATGAATTTGCAAACTGGACGTATTGAAAGGGTGCGTCTTTAGTGTCTTGGGTTCAAAATCAAAGACATTGACTTGACTTTGTGTTCAACCATATATTTAAAGACTCAGTGCCAAACAAATCAACTTGGAACGGATGAATGCGACATCCGGTTCAAGCAACAGTGGTCTGGTCCAAGTTGAACTGGTTATCACTAAGTTTTTAAGCACTTGCTTTGACAAGAAGTTACTTTGTGTTTAAACAAGGTAGTGAATAATTTACATATCAACAGAAGTAGAACGACTACTTGTTTTGTACAGTACTGTATTCTGCAAAGATAGGGGGATAGAACTCGTATTTGATCCCTCCTTTTGCTACTTTGAGAGCCAAAACAACAGTTGTCTTAGCATTACATATTTAATTATGAACTAGCAAATTCATGGATGGATCATGGATGGGTTTGGAAGTGTGGCAATGATTTTTTTTTAAAGTGTTGTTTATTCGGAAATACATAAAATAAGATCCAAAAACATAAAAAAATATTTTTTAACAAAAAAAAAAAATCAAATTTTATCCGACCCCTGTTTGCAATGCAATACCAAACAGGAGCGAAGAGTGATGCGATGATATCATATTTGTATATAACTTGGATATTTATGAAAATGTGATGAACTGCTGCAACGAACTGACCAAACTTGGAGGCCAATGCTTAGTTTCTTTGACATATGACAGATCCGTATGGTGAGGATCAAGCGTGGTTGCAATTGTGAATTGATTTTCTGCTAGTAAAGTGGCATGCTTGTCCGCATATGAGGCTGCTGCAAGAGCTGCATGTATTTCTGTCAAATACCCCAACAATTGGTCAACATGAAAGAATGTTGGATTTAAAAAGGAGTATAAGGAAACAAAATTTTCAAAGGGGGGACATTCAAGCTAAGACTTTCTACTTTCATATAGCCAAGAAATGAAAAATCTTGAGAAAATACCTGGATATCCTTCAAAGATATTGAGATATCTTCCATTTCTGCAATTGCTTCTTCTCTGTCCCCAACCTCGTAAAGAGACAATGCTCTCCCAAACCTTCTATATTCTGAGAATGCAAAATCTTTGTAATTTTCAACCATCTGCAAGAAAATATGGAAGTGACATTGCAAGTAACATCACAATCAGATTGTTCATGAAGCATGCATTACAACATGAAGACAACTACAATCTTGAAATGGAGCCACTGATATCCTGTACTGTGTTAGAAACACGTATTCTGGAGTTTCTTGTCTAATGGAGTGACTAAACTAAGTAGTTCATTGTACTATGTAGAACCAATTCAATCATTTATTTCTAATACTTAGCTATCTGGGATGCAAATCTTCTAGCAAGTTGTTCACCCAAATTGCAACAAGGCGGAAGCATTTCCTTTGTTTTTTCTTCTTTTTTATCTTTTCTTTTTTTTTTGAGGGGGGCGGCGCGTGATAGAGCAGAAGCACATCACTTGATTTCCTTTCTTTTGGCAAATGAAAAGGAAAGAGCTTAAGATCATAGTCAATTCTTGGCACAACCAAAAAAAATTATGTCACGTAGGCGCTAGCAATTTAATTGGAGAAGAGGCAGATTGCATCCTTTAAAGCACAAACATATGAGAGAGCACATTAATGTCTAGAATCTGAAGATAAGGACAACTTCACGGATGCAGAACACTGTATGATTACAATGTTCTGATACAAACAGAGGGCAAATAAACAGATGCACTCTATAGCACCTCGTAGTTGACATGAAATTTCAAAGGAAAACAATAGTTCAGTCTATGTGGCTCTGTAACAAGAGCACAGGCAACTGCAAGGGTCTGTCCAACATGGAAAAAAGGAAACTACATATCCCTAGTGCACTTCCCATTGAAGTTTTTCAAAATTTATCAATTAACACTATAAATCTTGAAGTCTTGGACAGATTAAATCTAGAATGTACATTCTAGCGTCTTCAATCTATATGATACAATTAAAGGTCTTTGTCTATCATAACCATGCCAAAATGTTGCCTTCTGGTAAGCCCTGAGGTATTACAGTTATCAATTGATTGATTAAATTCTGTTAGACAAACAAATGCTAAAGTATTTTAGCTCTGGAAACGCAGAATGATCTCAAATCAGTTGACAGTAACTTCTGCAAAAGAAATGTGCTGTCACAGGAATTTCACACTTAAATAGAGAGCCCATAAAAACTATTAAAAAATATTGCTTCCTTTATTTCTTTTCTTCATCATTTTTTGGCAAGTTTCAGTTTTTCAATAAGATGAGTATAGCATTGCTAAAAACAAACTAAAAAAAAAAAAAAAACTCCATCTCCATCCCCCTATAAGGAGCTCTAACGAGGAAAAAACTTAAATAACCCTCAACGAACAAGCAAACTACAACTTGTTAACCCCACAGCGTGAAAATTAAAAATATAAACCCTAGCAAATAACAAGCTTTCAATTTTGACATTCAATCTGCAACTTCAACCAAAAAAAAAAAGAAGAACCCTTCTTCATCTCGTTACATTTACACAAAAGTGTCAGCTGTACTCGGGCTTTATAAGTTCTAGCCTTAACCTCAATACTTTCCTCTCACTTCACCCCATGTGCTAACCACCTCGGAATGAGACACCATTTGCTTTTGGGTAGACACCAACTTATCATTCACGATCTGTCTAAATATTGGATATTCGCTAGTTTACCAGCTATACATTCTTCCAGACTCCCATCATCTCCCAGAAACCTATAGTTACTTTAAATGGGAATTTTAAAGCAATTAGTTTCGTTCTGCCCCAAATCCTCGCACTAACTGCAACTTAGGTGGCTTCCTCTAATACTCAACCTTTTACTAGACTAAATTCCAGATACAATCAAATAAAAAAAATTCTTCAATGCGATTATGTTTGGAAGCTCGGACTATCGACTTGAACCTTCCTACAGATCAATGCATCTCAAATTCTTTCTATATCATCTATAACCTACAGGAAAAGATTTTGCTCCATGCTTTAACAAACCAAAATCAGAACTCCATGCTTGTAACTCAATTATACAGGTAGAATTCAATCCTTCTTCATCCACAGTTCAAAGAAATTGTTTCAGAAGGCCACTGACATAATCTTCTATCTAATCATAGATAAATAAATTAAAAAACAAAAAAAAACCCAAAATTTCCCCTAGACAAAGTTTTGCACCAAAAAATTTATCCATCCAAGCAACTTCTCCCAACATTTACTCTCGGCAGTAAGTTCATCATCAGTCACAAGAACCTCCCCTAGCTCTCCTTGTCAAAGGCCAAACACACTACATAACATACCATTTCTTTTTTTACCATCACACCTTACCAAGTTTTACTCGCCCATTCAAAACTCACATCTCCTGCTTCCAGAGCTCTATGCTTAGTGTTTTTCAAACTTAGAGCTCATTCCTTAACCTAATAATTAGTCATGCCATCAAGCAATAAGCCTAGAGGTACTTTCCCCTGCAAAGTAAAGGGGATGAGATTGGTCTCAAGTTTGAGTTTCATCATTACCACCATAAGAACCGAACTAATAAACACAAGAATACAATTTTCTTGACTCCCATATCCCTTAGCATTACATCTCCAAAAAAATCCTAAACCATCAACATTCTCCAAAAAACTATCTCCGAGACTAACATTTGCAGCAAATAACTATTATATTTCAAATACCAATAAATGTAAAATCAAAGGACGAGGACCAACTAAAAGTAAAGACCCAAAAAATAAAGGGAAGATGTAACAAACCTTAGTGAAGTAGAGCAGTGCTTCATTGAAGTCCCCTTGAGCCTACAATTCCCTCCCTTTCTCCAACAACTCTACAGCTTCTGTTACTCTCCTAGTTATGGCAGCACTGGCTTCTTTCTGAGCTTGGCTTAAAGCTTTCTGCTAGTGCCCAACAAGAGTTTAAGTTCAGTTGTTTAGTTGAAGCACTTGCAAATTTAGCACCTGTAGTACTGAAAGGAAGAAGATTAGCAGTAGTTGCTGTGGTAAATAAAGGAAGGGAGAATAGGAGAAGGCGCCTACTGGTTGCTCTTGGGTTTGGAGTTGGTGGTGGTGGTTGTGAAGGGAGGAGTAGATTGGAAATGGGCGCCTTACCTGCACCCATTTGTTGTTGTTAGTGTTTTTATGGCAAAGTTTTGGTGTTCTATAACTGAGTTTCTAGTTTTTGTTAGTTTACTTTCTTTTGTTTATTTTGGCCCTCAACTTGGTTGATTTTTCAATCCTTTGAAATTATGTTTAGTTAATTAGAGATCTTTTAACTTTATCAAGCAGATTGGTAGGTCTATAACTTAAATTATTATTGAATTCCAAATCCATATCATTGAAAAATTATTGTTTTGAAATTATATTTTACTTTTAGGCATCATTGATTTCTTTTTGAACAAATGAACAAATAATAGATCCATACAAATACTGTCACAAAAAAGTAGATTCTTGGTTACCTTAAAAATATTACCCCATGGATGCAAGGGGAAGAATAAAAGCTATTAATTACTTCTTCCTTTCTATATCCAGAAAACCACAGTAAGAACATAATAGCAATCTGTTTTGAACATAACAGCAATCTGTTTCCAAACTTCAATTTGTCATCACTTATCAGAAGTAGTTCAATGTACCAGAAAGAGTGTAGAAATCAAATAAAAGCATTCACAAGTCTACTATATTACATGTGACTTTCAATTCATGAAGACAAAAACAATAGTTGAATAAAAACTATTTCTTCAGGATTTGGAGAGGGATCACCATCACCACTTTTGTTAGAGATCTGGAAATGATGCAAAGATAAACTAGACCAAATCAGCAACAACTGCTAGTGGACGCATCAGGTTGTGGACGCTTCTCATTAAAGATGTTCTTTTTCACACCTTTGGAGCCCTCAGCCAGTAGACTGGGTGTATCTAAAATCTGCAAAGGATAACCATACCCATCATCATGCAAGCTATTAGTCACTGCATTGTAGAAACAATTTAACAAGGGACATAAAAAAAGGCTGATTGGACAGGAAATTTTGTTCTCGATATCAAAACATAGGCAGCAATAACATCAGAGTAAGAATATATAAATAACAAAGTAAATAAGTATTTAGCATCTTCTGTTCTGTACCTTTAGAACAAGCTCTTCGAAACATTGCTGTACATTGACGCGAGTTTTAGCACTGCATTCAATAAAGAGGCATCCATATTCCCTAGCAAAGTTTATGCCCTCCTTTTTTGTTACCACCCGATCACTTTCCTGAATAGAGGAAATCCAAGCATGCATGAAACTTCCATAAAAGATGATATCATCTCAAATTTCCATGCCCAACAAATAAAAAGAAGCACTACCACTATAAAGTGTCAAGTATCATCTAAGCGTCTACCATGCAATAAGTGACAAAGGATGTCCAAATCATCCACATTCTTATGTCCAATTCAATTATATGCCATAAGAATGTCATACTAGCCTCAGAACTTTGGCAATTCAGAGTGCTTGTTTCACAGAACAAATGAGGGGAAATGGTTATTTTCCTCCAGGGCAAAAGGTTATTTTTTCCTTAAAAGTGATATTTAGTCGAAATTCCAATTCAGCATTCAAGCAAACTACAATTTACAGCTACCTAGATCCAACTTCTAACATCTAGTCTTACAATTTTCTAAAAGTATTATGTTCTGAACAATTCAGAGAAATATTGGAGAATGAACCTATATCAATAAAAAAATTTAAAAAAAAATCAAGTGTTTTTATTTAATACCTTGTAAAGTGTCCTTTTCCCTGTAGAAGCTTCTAACTATCTATATTAGTTTTAGAAATTTACACCCTTAAATTATTAGGAGAGAAGGGAGGGGGGAGGCATAGACAATTCAGCCTTTCTCTATTCCTCAAAGCATTATTGCTTGTATGGAACCCCTAAACAAGAACATTTAGTTAAAAACAAAACAATAAATGATATTTAATATAGAGAGGAGGGGGGGGGGGGGCTATAACAAAAAAATTTAGAACTGTCCCTTTTCAACGACAAAATTAAAGCCAAATTTAAACTTTAACTCACAAGACAAGGGGTAAACCTCCATCAAATTACCTTGTCAACCTTGTTTCCAACAAGCAGCTTGATGCAATCTTGATTTGTTGAATATAGATCAATTTCCTTAGCCCATATCTCAGAGAGATTGGTAAATGTGTCTCGTCGAGTTACATCATAGACTGTTGCAATTAAAATAAAGTAAAAAATATTTAACAAGTTGATTGATTAAAAACCTGACAATAACACCGCAGAAATACAACCTACAATCATAGAATTTCATTTTAAAAAAAAATGGAAATACCAGAAAGTTTCAAAGCTAGCTGAAATAATAAAAACAATAATTCATCAAAAAGACGGAGACTTTAATCAGTTAAAATAAAGTCTAACTCTCTGATGATGTTTTCGCTCCATTTTGTAAAGTTTGAATTAAAATTATGAGAGAGAGACTCAAATAAAATCATAGTTCCAACAGATACAAAAGAAAAATGGTAGCAATCAATTGGATGGTTGGTGAAACGGAAACCATGAAGCCACATTTTTTTCCAGTTTTTCTTGCCAGAAGTTTAGTGCCTATTTATCCAAGAAATCCAAATGCATGGTGAACAGATTAAGTTCAAAAGAATAACATCTGTTTCATAAATCTATGTGACTAAAAAGAAGTAGATAGTACATTTTGCATGTAAGCCATCATATGCAGTTCAGGCAAAGCAAATGGCCCAACACAATTGAACTTCTAAATTCAAGGAACACCATCTTTAAAACTTTGCAGTGAGGTTTTGCGTTATAACAACTATTAACTAAGCGATTGTAAATGTCATGAAAGATAGGGGAAATACCCATAACGATCCCTTGGGCCCCTCTGTAGTATGAACTCGTCAATGTTCTAAATCTTTCCTGACCAGCTGCATGAACAAACATTAAGCATCAGAAGGCATCGTTTGGCCAACTAAATCTTTCTCTAAGGAGAAAGAGGTAAGCCAAAACTGTCAAGACTTGGTAAAACAACATAAACAGGTAACAAAACTGTCAAGTTACTAGTAACATTGCCTGCAACTACATGAGCAATTAACAAATTTCATCCTGCTATTGCTAGCGATGAGACTGGAAATGTTATTTCATAATACTATGCTACATAATTTATGAGAACATTAATGCCAACATCTGAATTATAACCAATAAGCCACAGAACAATAAGATAATACTGATAAAGACTAAATGTTTACAGCATAGGCATTACTTTTAAAATTGAAGTGGATTGCATGAGACATAACATGCAGGTAAAGCATAAACATAAAGCAGGCAATTAAGAAAAAAAATGAAACCACAGACTAAGTGACAAACAACAAACATGGGAACACAGTTGAAGTTACCTGTATCCCATATCGCAAGTTTCAGCTTTTTCCCTCCAATATTCACAAATTTTACTTTAAAATCAACACCTGTGCAGCGAAGCAAACAGAAAATATGCTAAAATCTCAAGAAACAGGGACTTGCAAAATCATGGCTTCAAAATTCAATTTTGATGGTCAAGAGAGCAAAATGCTATAATCTTGCCCCCCAAAGCAAACAAATTATATTCTTAAGGATTTGATGAACAACATGACATAAACAATTATTCAAATATTAGATCCATTAAGCATTGTATGCATGACTGATTAGCAAAATTTCACCGAAAGATGAGAAATCTATAAATCTGAACTCAACACCTTCCTAATTGACCGTTAAGTAGCAAAATCAACTTCCATCGCCAATAGAAAGAAAGCACAATTTTGATTTCTTGCAAATAGTTATAGCACAAGCAAACAATTTGAGGTCCTGGATCTTAATTTTCAATCCTCAGAAAGAAGTCTAAAATAAACACCAATTTGTAAAAGAATGCCAATCAGCAAACAACCATAGCTTGGAAGTAAAATCAAAGCATGAAATCCTAGGACACTAGCTATATTTTTCAATTCCATAATACCAAAAGTTGATTACAGCAACCTTACAATCAACCAGAACACATACGCGGATGAATATTTGCAGTGCCCGTGCCACTTACCAATGGTGGGGGAGAGATCTTCAAAGGTATCAGATGTGAAACTCAAAAGGAGACTGCTTTTCCCGACACCAGAATCTCCGATCATTAACAACTTGAACAGGTAATCAAACTCCGGAGAACTCGAACTGGAATCCATTAAAATATTATCTCAACTAAAACCAATAAAATCTCAGCTCCTCCAACACTACAATGTGCCCTAGGTCACCCTGTCAAAACACAATCCAAATCACGGATTTTAAACAATACCTAACAGAAACCATATAAATTCAAAAAGGAAATAAAAGCACATTATTGTAGAATTGAAAAGTATGATCAAAGCTGGAATCTTTTTCACAATACAACACATAAAATAAAAACCCAAAAAAACAGCAGATGCAGAAATTCAGAAAAGAAGATATTTGATAACAAAAATAGAAATCCCAATTCAAAGCTAAGAATTTCCAAATCATTAGATTAAGCAACACAAAGGCATCAGTACCCAAAAGCACAAATCAAGATTTTTGTGTGTGCGCTTTATGCATCAACAGAAAAGGAGATTTGAATGTACCTGAAAGGTAATGACTTCTGAAAAAATTGTTAAAATTCAGGCGGTGGGTTTGCAGAGAGGGATAGCGAGAGAGAGAGTGCTCTGAGAATTATGAAAAGGAATGTGAAAGAGAAGGGGAATCCACAGTTAAAAGATGATGGAGAACCAAAATATAGTGTAGATATTTTTTTAAAAGCCAAACACGACTGTAGAAATAAAAAAAAAAAAATCTACGAATCAAGTTTTGCTATGCAACGACCTTAAAGGATTTTTCTTTTACTAAGAAAAATAATTATTTTAGTTTTTCCTTTCTTTTTTACCATTATAATAATGCTACAAGTTAAAAAAAAAAATGCTACAAGTAAAAAAAAAAAAATGCTACAAGTAAAATGCATAGAGACAAGGGTCATATGGCTGTACGATGTACTAGAACACATGTTACATTGCAGGCCGGTTTAAAAAAAATAAGAAAAAAAAAGCAATGACAATATTTTTAAATAAGCAAGAAAAAATTGATACTTAATCATTTAATTGTAGGCAATTAGTTGGATAGTTTAATGTATTGATTTAAATTATAGGTGATGATAATAGATATATAGTAAAAAATATATTTGGCAACAACTCATCGATATAATATTCAAAAAATTAAAAATATTATTAAAAACTCATTATCCAAATGTCACGCATCATAAAAACAGTTTATTAAATTAATTCAAACTCAATTGTAAAAGTCTAGATGCAAACATAAGAAGAAGTTGTATGAATCTCTTAAGCAATATCTTAAAAAACCAAATTGAACAAAACAAAATAAAATAAAAATTTATTTATATTTAATCAATCAATTATATTTCTTTAAAAAATCAAATTTACTAAAAATAAATTTAATTAAAAAACAAAAAATAAAAAATATGAACACAATTAAATAAAAAAATGATAAAACCAAGGTTATAGAAAGCATGAAAAAAATAAAATACTTAATTTTTAATTAAATAAATATTAAAAAAATAAAATTAAAAAAATATTAACTTAAAAAAATAATCACATTAGAAAGATAATATTACTCTCAATTATTAGCCTACACTCTTTTTTATAAGAGCAAAATGGTGAATTCACTATTCCTATTTATAGTGTAATAAATACAGGAAATAATAAACTCATCACCACCTTTAATTTTTTTTAATATTAATTATGGATATTGACTATATTTTGATCATGGTGATAATAATAACACCTTATATTTGACAAATATATTATGCAATCTATATTTAATTTTATATTTTTGATTTTCATGTTTTTGTTCAAGACAATAAGGTCTTTCTACAATTTTCTTTATACCATTTGATATTAAAAATAAAATAAAAATTGAACCATTGATCGAGGTTGGTAGATAAAAATCGAAAACAACATTGTTTTTCTTATTTGTTATATGTTTTACATGAAAATAAGATTAAGCTTGCTCTTATTAATTTAAATTTTAAAACAAAAACTAAAAATGATTAATAAATCATTATGGATGCATACTTTTTGTATTTATAGCTTGGAATGGTATAATGACTATCGTAATGGTGTATATTTGTTCGATTTAATTAAAAGATAAATTATTAAATGCTTTGAAAAAAAAAGCAGTTAAGTAGTTTTTTTGAGTAAAAAGATAAAGGATACTGAACATTCATTAGATAATAAGTTGTTTAAATTTTTTTTTATTGGTTAAAACAACGATGTTTTTTGTTAAATTGTACTATTTTAAGCACTAATTTGACTTTTTAGAGTTTTAGTTAGGGATTTAACTAAAATTCAATTTAGTCTTTTAGTTTTTTTATTTATTTCGATTACATTCTTAAATGACCTCAAAATTTATTTTATGCAATTTTGCCTTTGCTAAACTTCAATACTCACCCTGAACTTCAATATCTTTTTTCATTTTGATCTTTAATTTTGAATTTATTCAAATTAATCATTAAAGTTTCAATTTTCTTCAATTTCACCCCTGTTTTAAAATGAATTAAGTCCCTGAAGTTTAACTTCTTTTTCAAAAAGGTCGTTAGCTATGAATTTATTCAATTTAACCATTAATTGACTATAAACTTTGATTTTCTTGCAATTTTACTCTCGATTTCAATTAATTGACTTTATAAAAATTAAGTTTGATTCTTTAAAATTTCAATCTTCTCAATTAAGTTTAGATCGGGCTCCCAAACTTAATTTTTCATCAATTAAGTCTCTAATAAAATTAATTTGACCTATTAAATATATAATTATGTGCTTGCACCTAATTAAATCTTTTAATTTGATCCAAATTAATTCTTAAAAATAATTAAACTTTTAATTTGACTCATGATTAAATCAAATTGAGTTATTAAAAATTTAATTATGTCATTGGACTTAATTTTTATGCAGATTTGTTGAACAATTAATTAATTTGATCTTGAATTTACATTGTCTCGTCAGTCTTTGGTATAATGGTATGATTGGGCTTGTAATTTTATCAAAAACTCTAGCTTGATTCTCACATGCACATATATTTGAAACCCTCCCAACTTGTTTTTGCCATGTTACTAGTCTTTTTATTTTTTGTTTTTATACAAGAAAAACTGGTAAATTTTGGGGAAGAATCCAAGAGTGAGTTATAATAATGATGACTTATAGAAAAAAAATTGTTAAAAGAAAGTTGAATTTCAAGATAACTTATTTTTAAATGATGAAATAAAAAAAAGATGAATGATTAAAAAAGAAGAAGAAGAAGCTTTGAGCCAATCCAATTTAGCATGAAAAACCAAAGACCTAGGATGTGAAGTCAGGAAATCCTCATAGAAAGTAAAAAAAAAAAAAATTATTTTCTAACAAAATTAATATTGGAAGATAAAATTAAAAAAATTAGTGTTAAAAATAAAAAAAAGACCGATGTAAACCCAAGTTAACATTTTATACTCTAACACAAGTCATAAAACTAGAATCACTACTCCTGAGAAATTAAGAAATCTAATTCATAATCAATCTCATGTTAGATGATGAAATCAGATAAAAAAACCAATTTTAAAAAAACGAACCAAAGAAAAAAAAAGTAATTAAGAGAATAAATACCAAATCTAACATAAAAAAATTAATTTGTTTGGGATTTATTTTCAATTTTTTTATAGGTTTGTCCTGATCTCATGGTTCTAATCATGTGTTTTTCATATTGCTTTTGAATATAAGGTTTTTTTAAAATTGTTTTGTTTATATTTTATTTTTCAAGATATTATTCTAAATCATTTACATATATATTTTTTATTTATACAAGCAAAGTTTATTTTTAAAATTAAAAAATATTTATTTTTAAATAACATTGTTGATTTGTTCAGTTATGCATAATTTTTATAGGACACAAGTTTATTCATTCATTTTCATTTGTATTTTTAGGTTATGGGTTTTTTTAAAAGTAGACTTATTTTTTATTGATTTAAGTAAATAAATATACTGAATACAATCAAATAAATATATCATTTTATATGATTGAATATTTTTTAGTTCTTTACAATGTATTTTTTAAATTTATTTACATAAATTGTTATCAATTTATCTAGTTAGAGACTTTTTAATTTATACTTCTAATTTTTTATGTTAAAAAACATATTAGAACAACTTGCATATCTAATATTATTTAAAATAAAAACTAATGACATAGCACAAGTTAAATGACTAATATAACAAGTAAAGATGTGCAACTCTATAAACAAGTTTTATGCTCAGGGCTTAGGGCAAATACTCTTTTGTTTTATCTTACACTTTGTAGTTTATCTTTTTGTAATGCTTGCATTGTCTTATTAGCCTTTTTTTTAATCATTATATTATCTATACACTTAAAGTTATTCATTTTTTAAAAAATATTTTTATTTTAAATTAATTTTTTATATTAGTAGATAGTTTGTTTTGACTTATTAATATTAAAAATAAAATTTAAAAAATAAAATATATTATTTTAATATATTTTAAAAAATAATTACAATTATAATATCAAATAAACTGCTAATCATTAAAGAGTCACCTCAATCAATCAAGAAGTCTTGTTTTATAGGCATTACAATCATCCGAACACTTGATGGCCGCTATGTGCCATCCACTGGCTGTAAGAAGAATTACATCATTCTTAAAGTTTTCTGACCTCATCAAGATGAATAATTTACTCATTTTCTATGAATAAACCTGTATTCCAGCTTGTATATATTTAGACAATGCTAATTATATCCTTGAAAAAATTAATAGAATGTTTTAAAATGCCGTTGAATTTGTTTTTTAAAGTATTTTTACTTGAAATATTTTTTAAAGATTATTTTTTAAATTATTTTTGAAAATATATTAAAATAAAATTGATTATACTAATTTTTTAAATATTTTTGTATTTACATTATTCTACATTTTTTTTAAAAAAATGTGATGACTTATCAAAACACTCTGAAAACTGTGCCAGTACAAGGGAACCACACTATCACCGTGTGATATGACACCATTTTAAGATTTTTTTTTTCAAAGTATTTTGAGTCATTGTCTTGAATCATGGCATTTTGGAGATTAAAAGTGTGTTTAGGATTATATTTATGGTTGTGGTTTTTTTAAATATTTTTTATTTAGAAAAATGTATTAATAATATTTTTATTTTTAAAAATTATTTTTAAGATTAATATATCAAAATAATATAAAAATATATTAATTTAAAAATAAAATTTAAATTTTTTTAAAAACACTTTTCAAGCATAATCTCAAACACTCTTAGTATCGGAGGTCTGGAAATTTCACCAGTCAATAAAAATATCTCACCGCATACATTTCAGCTGGTCAGGAAGATAAAAAAATCAATCAAGCTCAGCCATCACTGTTTGATCTCTTGGTTTGGTATAATTTTCCCATTTTTGTTCTTAGTGAGATTTCTAAGTTGCGAGGAAATTGTGTTTTTCTCTATTCATTGCTTTATATCCATTTTTTATGTGTGTGTATGCCACAAGCCTAGCTAATTTTTTTTCATATAATAAAAAAAAATTATTGATGCAACATTGGTAATTTTAAAGAAGTAAAAAATTTAAAGTTTGAGTAATTAAAAGAGATCATTTGTATATTCAGTTTGAAGACTGGAAAAGCAAATAAAAAAGTCATAAATTAAGTATTTTATTTTTATATTTAATGAAATAAAATAAATAAATTTGACAAAGACAAAAAAAA